TATCTCCAGTTAAACTCCACTTAACAACCTTTTATAGTCTCTTTGAGAGTGCAACATACTACAATAAATAAAAAAATTATTAGTGGTAAAAAAAAAAATCACTTTTTCAACAAGTTTATTTTACAGGACACAGTAATTTTTTTTAAATTTATTTATTTTTTATTATTGAAATTTACAACTGTATTAAATGATAAATACAACTAGTAAATATGAAATAAGTAACATCACATGTACAACATTAAGAGAAACTGCACATTGGTAGCACTCCAATTATATTTCTATATTATAAAGTCCCGAGGCCATCTTCTTTTCAGACGCCTCGGAGGATTTTCAGGAATAGAAGAGGAAGCAAGGTTGGAAACAAGAGGGTTCGGATGGTTCAGAAGTTTATTATGGAATGATAGGTGTCTGGATTGAGCTCAATCGGAAACATATGGTACATTAAGGTCGTTATGGATGATTTTATTTGTGACAAATGATTTTACGAAGGATTTTGGATTCTAGGGATTTAGTAATTTCAAACACAAAATAATTAAATTATTTATCATCTCAACTTCAATTCAAATTAATTCTTAATTTCGTCAAGGATCCAGGACCTCCAGGAAAAATTGAACAACGGAAAGCATTGATAATGAATGATCTATGGCAACATGGACCCGTAACATGTCGCACTGGCAGCCAGCAGTGGTGTCCCGTGTTGGGCGCCTCCAGCCCGTGTACAGTAGTCCTCCGCTGCTATCTCCATGATGGCCGTTCACAATGAATCAATCAGCTGTCAGCCGCTGGAGGCTCCAGCGCTCCGGGGGGAAAGAATACCTGACAGCCCCGCGAAATATTTTATATAACTCACTCAACGTAGATTGTCACTTATTGGCTCACCATGTCTATCGCCCATCGGAGTAACATATAACACTCATGACAACGCATTCCCAGTATCCGCCTTACTGAATCTTACGCGTAACTATATAATTTGATTACGTGAAAATTTTTAAAGAAAAAGCCTTATAAAACAGGAAAAACTTATAAAATAAAGATAGAAATTCAACTGAAAATTGAATCAACGGATGGATATTTTTTTCTGGAATAAATAAATATCAAGAAAAATATGTATTTAAAAGGGCATATAAATATTTAAACAATCGCATATAATAAATTAATCGCTACACTTTAGTGGACAAAAAATTAAATAAATAAGGTTCTCATATTTTTTTGACGATCTTCAAAATTAATAATTTCGTTAACCCAATTAAGAGAGTTTTTTTTGGCAAGAAACAGAGTAATTAAAGTAAAGCTCGGGTGTTTCTCCAAGGATTTTTTTTTTTTGTATCGGGAGGATACTTTAGAGAAAAAATTAATAAATTATATGATATATAGGATCTGTTAAAAAATAATAATAATAAAAACACTGTAATTACAGTGACAATGATACCTTTAGATATGAATAAGGTGCTTAAATGTTATATCTATCGTCGAATATGTTATAATTTAAAATGGGGACGGATTGTGATTATTTAAGTATTTAACTCAGATCATTTACGAAATAATTATGTACCAATGAAAAAACAAATCTAATTCGCATTGTGGAGTTTCTGAGGGCCAAAACCATGGTTTTAAATATACTTCAGCTAGAAATAGAGTACTTACGAGGCGGATCTACGTGGAGGGAGAGGGGCTTTCGGGATGAAGCCCTCCCTCTAAAACGATAAAATGTAATCATGTTTTATAGAAAAAAGTATTAAAAAATTATCTTTTAATGTATTATTGTTCGGATAATTACATTTATTATGAAATCAAGAATTACTAAAACACCATTTTATATATATAGTTAGTATTTTTCTTTTTTTTTATAAAATAATTTTTGTTACATAAATGGAAAAAAAGCTTTAGAGCTGAAGCACCCCCAAAATTAAATCCTGGATCCGCTAGTGCTTACGAGCATATTCCTAAGGTTTATGGTGCAAGTTGAGTCATAAAAGTCGTTGAGAGGTTCACATTTCGACGGGGTTATAATTTTTTGGAATGAAAAGTTTCAAACCAGGAGACAAGTGAAAAACATACAACAGAGAATAGCAAGAGTAATTGTATATGACCTACGACTTTTGAAATTCTACTTAAGCTTGCACTGTTTTTGCTGAAGAGCAATGAAATGTATTAGTTGAGGGAGTGACTTGAATAATGGCCATTTTTGAGTACTTGTGATTGGGTTGACTTTTGGACCACAGCCTTTACTACAATGTTTACAAATGGAGTATGTATCAAGTATCGTCGTAAACCTTCCTGTCCTACAGCATTCTTTCCCCGCTCATCCCTGTTGAAAAAATCCGATATCTAGGACTTCACATTGACAAATGACTCACTTGGAACCAGACTGAAACGACTAGAAACCGCTCGACATTTCCGACTACTCCAGAACTTACTAGACAAACGTTCTAAACATCCAACTATTTACAAAAGACTCACATTTATTACTACAATGTGGCCTATTTGGACTTACAAGATCGAACTTTGGGGCTCTACTAAACCCTCAAATTCCTGTCGTATCCAATCCCTTCAATCCAAAATCCTTTGTAAAACCCTTAATGCTCCCTACTTTGTCACAAATAAAATCATCCATAACGACCTTACTGTACCATACGTTTCCGATTTAGCTCGATCCAGATACCTATCCGTCCATAATAAACTTCTGAACCATTCGAACCCTCTTGTTTCCAACCTTGCTTCCTCTTATATTCCTGATAACCCTCCGAGGCGCCTGAAAAGAAGATGGCCTCGGGACCTTCTAATATAGCAATATAATTGGAGTGCTACCAATGGGTAGTTTCATATTTGCTTGTTGTATTTGTCATTTAATACAGTTATAAATTTCTATAATAAAAAAAAAATGAATAAAGTAGCAGTGTACCGTAGGCTTTGAAATCGCAAATTAGAAAGACGAGTCTCGTATTTCATATACTCGCAAATATATTATTTTGTACCAATATTTTATTTATGATGAATACAGATGAATACGTGAGCTTTAGTATGCGGTTTGACAAAATTAAATCCACTGATCACAAAGATCTCGCTGTACAGTAAGGCCCCTACGCCCACGGTATGGAGCCTCCCGATAGATCTCTCCCCCAGACCGCACTATCTCAAGATGGAGCGAACGCAGTGGCGTGCGGTAGCGGCGGCATGGACTTGTTTATATCTTAATTACCTTTTGTGCAGGGCCAGCGTGGGCGAAGGTATTTGACTTGGTAATGGCCCTGCCCCCGCCTCTCGCTCCGTCCTCCCCAACTTGAATCAAATTAATATAAACAATATTTCACCACAATGCCCTTTCATCCGATCCGATCTTTATGTTTCTCTTATATCTGACTTTATTTACTATCTCTCCGATATTTACGGCCATTTATCTGTATATGCTATCGCTTTATTTAAGCAGATAAATCTCTTCATTACCGCAACAAGCACAAGAGTCCAAAGTGTTTGTATCGCGACTCATATAATATAAACAATATGACGTCATTCCTTTTCTCTAAGTTATACCATATTTCAAATGCAAAACGTCTTGAAAACTTATATTTGATTCCTGCTTGGTTACTATTAAATCGAGCCTGAACTAGTTAATGCAGTAAACTACCTATCTCATTTTTATCAAAATCTATTACTAAATATTTATTTAATTAATTATTTTCTTAATTATTTTTTTTCTCTCTCGCTATCGCTCAAACTCCACTGGCTTTAGCACCAGTGACGCGGTTGAGAGAGTAGCGCAGGGATATGTTGGAGTCCTGCTTTTCCTTCTATAGTTGGAGGGAGGATCCTGGCTTGGGGTTCCCTAATTTTATATATTGTATATAGATATGACTGTGTTTTAATTTTTTTTAATTTATTTATCTTTAGGTTATTTTATTTTTTATTGTACATAGTTTTAAATTATTATTCTACTTTTGTTAATTTTATATTTTCTGTATTTATGGTGTGGATGTGTTCATATATCACTATAATTTATTTTCCACGTGACAGATTGTTATAATTCTAAATAAATAAATTTAAAAAAAAAATTAAAATTTTAAAAATATATCGAAGAACTGACTCTTTATGTAGTGTATAAAAAATATCAACAAAAAATATTAAATTAAAAAAAAATAGATATACTATCTTAGTAAAACTGTTTATTAGTAATAATTGTAATTCGGGCGAAAAAAGAAGCTGTGATATCCCCAATCCGAAAATTTAAAAAAAATGTAGAGCACATACGGAACCTAGCAAAAGGATGGAGAGAAATTATCTAAATTTAATTTCTTTCCTGTAGAGATTCTTGTTGTTTCATAACTAGGTTCATTCAAAATATCGAATTCCTGTCAAAGAAAATGGAACTGACAATCATTTTTCCTTATATTTATTTCAGGAATTTATTTATTGTATATATCTTGCTATATAGTACCTTGTTGCAAAATATCGATTACAACTAATTTTATTACTACACGATGGATTATAATTATCTTATTTTACCGAAAACGCTGTTGTATTTGACAGTGTCCCCTGAGAAAAGGAGGTGTTCATGCGATAATATGGAATAACAACAACAAAGTAATAGTTTTTTGGAATTATTTAGCAGTAAATTAAATCATATCACGATACAATTAAAAAGATTTAGCATAAAAATAAATTCTTAACTTAATATCATTTCAATTCTTTTTTAATAGTTACGAATATATTTTAAATAATTTAATGATTATTTTGTGTTGTAAAATAATTTGCTATCGTAGCGAGAATTACAACTGATTGTAACTTCAAATAACGTTGGTCACCATATTATATGGCAGGTTGTTTTGAATTCACAGTTGTAACGATATTTTATTTATTTTTTTAACATCTGTCCAACATACTGTTAGCTAACTAACGAGGAAACTACCACGTCACTACAAAACTTTAATTATTTCTTTCGGACGTCATACAATCAAGATCATTCCAATCACAAGAGCATAAGATAATGCAAGAGATTGATGTTTTCAGTTAAGATTCGAATCGACGAGCTGATAATTGAGCGTAGCCGAACATTGTTCCAGCCGAGCGTTCTCTCTCGCTGTCAAATCATCGAGCGTTAAAAGCTCCTGGCATTTAAAAGCTGATTAGTGATAAAACTTAACGAAATGTAATCTTGATGATGATTTATCGAAACGAACGCCCGCTTTCTTTCCAACGGCAAGATGTTTTTTCACGATAACCTCATCATTGGAAGTAAAAATAATCCGTGTTGCTCTCATATGCTATAGACAGCCATCCAATACCTACAATGATATATAATTAACTGAAATAATATTTTTTGTAAGTTACCTTTTATTTTCGTTCCAATCAAGTTGACTTGGTCCGTGTAAGCGGGGACAACCCTGAGGAAGCGAACCCAATTGCAGTGTCGCACGCGCCGCCTGTCGACTTCTGTGATTTCGTCGTAGCAACCGAACCTGTGCCTGATCTGAAACAGAAGAAAATAAATAAGCATTAATTTATAATAGTATTTATTAAACAAATTAATATTATATATCGTAATATAATGATTGAAACAGCATGCTGGTACCTGCATCATCTTTATACGGTACGTATTTATTGCTTCATGAATTCTAATTGATAAGCACACCTATGAGTGTGTGATTGCTATAAATCATAAATAAATAACTGAAATAAAATTAAAAACCAAAACCAAAAGGAATAGAAGAAAAATAAAAATTCTCCACGAAAATTCAAAAAGCATTGGAAAATTAAATATATAAACATTGGAGGAATTTAATAATGTGACTATAATTTAAGGATAACAGCAAAAATGAATGCACCGTCTAAATTTTAATTTACCTTAACAAAAGATAAATGAATTTTACCTTATAATCTGTCCGTGAGTACGATTATATTACAATTAGAGAAGATTAACAAAATATTATTTTTTAAAGCTTATTTATGAAATTTACAAACTGTATCAAAACAAATATATATCTAGTATAAATGATAAATGGTAATACAAATAAACGAGAACAATTGTAGAGAAACCACCCACTGGTAGCACTCTAATATAATTTCTAAATTAGGAGATCACGAGACCATCTTCTTTTCGGACCCCTCGAAAGATTGTCAGGGAAAGAAAAGGAAGCAGGGTTAGAAACAAGAGGATTCAGGTCATTATGAAGTTTATTATGTAAGGATAGGTATCTGGATCGGGCCAAATCGGAAACATAAGGAAGATTAAGATTTTTTATGGTATTTACTGGACTTTATTTCAATACTTCTGTTTTTACACCATTCTTCAAGACTTGTGGTGTGTGATTGAAGAGTTTGGGATGCAATTGATGGATCATCACGCATTAAATCATCGGCAGATGTAGTGTTGATAGTGTTAGGATGGGTTGCGATATCAGGTGTATAAACTGTGTATAGGATCTACCAAGGATCCTATCTTGAGGAACAAATATTATTTAAAAAATGAAATAAAGCTGGGAATCTTAAAATAAATATAAGCAAACGATATATCGAAATATGAGCCTCTCAATTTGTATTCATTTATCAAGCTTCGGCCTTTAAATCAAATGAAAGAATTCGATTATTTGGTTTGACATACATAAAAAAAAATGTAACAAAACGCTGTGTTAAATATATTTACAAATGTATTTATACAAATATATATAACAAATAGGAATATTATTTTCAATAAATTCTCAATGTTGTAATCAATCATAAATTAATGAATATTTTTACACGCTAAAAAATACCTGAGAATAAATTCCTCAGTAATGGATTTATAACATCATTGTGATTACAAAAATTCGAAGAGAATGTGTTGAGTTCGAGCTTTTTTAAATGTTTGTCGATTTTATACTTATAGTCTATTACAATTAATAATATAACAAGAAATTCTGCATTATCAGCTATATTATGCTTACGTTTCGTTATGCTAATTCAATTATCGAACTTTTTTTCTGCATATTTGTTTATTTGTTTACTTTTCATTGCATTTGCATTTTTCTGTAATTCCTTTTTTAATATTATTGTTACCTATTAGATTGATTTGTAAGCTTTGTAGATAATAAATTTCATTAATTATTCTCATATTGTTAGTAATTATGTTAAGAATTAATTTATTTGTTTTACCATAAAAAAAAAAAAAAAAAAATTACTATCGAAAAATTTTTGATTACAGTGAGATATATAATCTAGAAGGCTGCCAGTTTTTAAAGGGAAAACGGTATTGCCCCATGAGAACTTACGGCCACGCCCAGGAGCTAATAAAAAATCTAAAAAGGAAGGAGAAGAGATAGAAGAGAAAATAAAAAAGGTTTTATAATTAGGGCGCAGGTGATAGTGTTGAAAAAAAAAAGCGAGAGGTAGCCTTAAGACCGAAAGTTTATGTGGGGGCTGGTCTGAGCACGATGCTCTGCGCCGGCCACTGTGCCCCTGTCAGGTATCTCATCCGATATCTCCGGTCTCCTCTGCTTATCTTTATCCAGGATTCCGGCGATCTACGTTCCCTTTGATGGCCTCATCCGTTGGGTACGACACAGCCTGGGAATCTGACCTACCGGCTCTCCGAGGTATCGAACAGCCGCTGTCACATTTTTCAAAAGCCACCTCCTGCTTTTTGCCTACTCAACTGTCCTCAGCTCTAGGGCTTAAATTAAGAGGCTTCCAAACGAAAAAACAAAAATCTTAAAAGACACTCTTGTAGTTATACAGTTATTTTTTTAATGCGATCTCTCTTCTTGTTCGATATGCAACTCCTATACCTTAGGTACATAATTGGTAAATGGTTGACTGTCGTGAATAATGGTGAGAAGAATAGTTGGGGTGTTCAGTCAAATAAGAAGGCAAAAATAAATGATACTATTTATTTTGACATTAGCCGACGTTTCGACCTGAAGTTCAGGCCATCATCAGGGCTAAGAAAAGAACCAGATAACAAGGTATGAGAAACATAAGAAGTGTAGGAAAAAAATTAAAGTAAAATTCAGTTGTTAGAATAATGACAATAGTAAGAACAAAGAGATAAATGATAATAAGCGGTACAAAGTGTGGAATGATGAAGTAAACATAATGAAAAAAAAAAGGTGACATAAGTATTAAAATGGGAATCTTAGAATAAAATGTAAAAACAGAAAAATATGAAGTTATATAAGAAATGGAAATAAATAAATAAATCAAAATAAATTGTATCATTTATTTTTGCCTTCTTATTTGACTGATCACCCCAACTATTCTTCTCTCCATTATACCTAAGGTACTTCTTTTTTACTTATTATAAATTTTTGTTTCCAAATATTCAGAAATATATTTGAATATACTCATATATATTAATAATATGTATTCAAAAATTAATTCCATCATAATGCCTTTTTATTGATAAAACATTAACAAACCAACGCTTCGTAGGTCTCCTCCATCATAAAGGTTTTAACTAATTATTCTTTAATAATAATGTGCACACTGTTTACGATATTTAAATAATATTTCAGTAAACAAATATCTCAGTTACTGCATATTCTGAGATACTATAATATAGCATTGAGTAATTGAAATATTTATTCTAGGAAAAAAATGTATCTTATTTAATTACTATGCCTAAATACTTTATTAAACGAACTGCAAAGGATATCAAATAATCTAACCCTGATAATAATGATATCCGAAACGAGTATTTGTAAATACTTTTTTAATAAAATGACATACAAACTCTCTAAACGTTCTATATATTACAAAAGATTCATATACATAACTATTTGGACTTACAGAATTGAGCTTTGGAGCTCCAATAAACCATCGAATTCTTCTCGTATCCAATCCTCACAATACCAAAATCCTTCGTAAAATCCTCAATGCACCTTACTTTGTCACAAATAAAATCATTCATAACGACCTTAACGTACCGCATGTTTGCGATTTATCCCAATCCAGATACCTATCCTTCCATAACAAACTTCCAAACCATCCGAACCCTCTCGTTTCAAACCTTGCTTCCTCTTCGATACCTTATAACCCTCCAAGGCGTCTGAAAAGAAGATGGCCTCGTGACCTACTTATGTAAATATATTACTAGAGTGCTACCAATGGGTAGTTTTTCAACAAGCGTTTTCACGTGATTGTATGATTAACGAGTGCACATTTACTGGATGTATTTTTAATTTATACAGTTAATTAAATTAAATTAAATAGTAAATTAAATTTGTTCATGAATAAATAAAAATTAAAAGAATGGAAGTAATTTTTCAATGCCTATAACTGAGAGTCATTAACCTCCTCTGTGTTTACTGACTGCCAAATAAAATCTAAAAGAAAAAAAAAAGATTTGACTGGTATCACGCTCAGCTACCACAGTTTATTCCCTTCATTATTTAAGGGTACCCACTTTATGCGGACTTGGTGTGTACTATATTTGATCCACGACTGATGTAACGAATTAAATAATTATCTACCCACTGCAGGATTCGAGTAGTGCCTTTAAGAATAGGAGACAAGTTCGATCTTGGTGCGTTTTACTTTTCCGCTCCCAAATGAGAGCAAAACTTACAATTCAATTTAATCATGTTTGTTAAACTTGAATTACTGGGCAAATTATTATTCAATTTATATAATATTAATGTTAACAATGACATTAGTCTTTAGTTCATATAAGTATGAATAAGATTAAACGGTCTACCATAACACCTGTGTAGTGTTGGGTGCTGCAATATTTATAACTAATGCCACTGTACTTTTTCTTCTTTATTAGGCGAATCCGCATAACGAATCCGTTTAGAAAAGGACTCCCATAGATCATATCCTTCTTTGTTGCAAATGAAATAAAAGGTAAAAATTGCGATGGTGACTTTTCCGCGTCGGTGCCCGACTCCGATTCCATAACAGGTGGAATTCCATACTCCATTAGGGGATTCAGAATTTATCCTCCCTTCTACGCTGCCTTATGACCTCCTCGAGTGCTTTACTGGACGAGAAAGGAGGCGTACCATTTAGTACTCCAGCCTTGGCTCTTCTACACGGTATCAATCATGTGAAACCACATTCTGAGCTTACTGAAAAAATATATTTTGTTTTCTAATCAGGCCTATTCTTATTTTTTTTTATATTATAGTTGAAATTTTGCTTTAAAAACGTATTTGAAATTTAATATTTTCATTTTTTTTTTTACTGTGTTTTTCTTGTTTTGTTTTAGTATTTTTTAAGAAATTTTAGATCACTTTTTATGTCAGTATGTATTTGTTTTTTGAGAATTAAACCATTTTTCCGAGAAAAAAATATCATCGTTAGATGTTTCTCCGAACAATCATTTGACTTACGTTACTTGTGGGTGACAAATAAAATAGCAAGGTTGTCATAAATATACAGAGTGAGTCAGGAGGAACATATATTCATATCAGATTTTTGTTTATTTAAATTTTATTGACTGATTACAAATAAACGAAATTTCACAAATAAACAATATTTTATAAATTAATTAGAATTTCAGTTATTAATAAGTCTTATTATAAGTCTTAAGGGAGTGGGGTAGCTCAGAGGCAGGGCACTAAGCTTCCAGTGCTCAAGGTCCCAGGTTCGAATACCGGCTCCTGGCAGAAAAATTATTTATTCTGTTTCATAGGCCGTGGGGCGGTCCTGGGCAAGTAGACCCTCCTGGAGCATGCCCAGCCTATATAAAGTCGGTTCTCTTAATTAAAATAATTAATTAAGGGGAAAAACCTGGCGGTTGAGCGTGACCTCAGTCGAATCACCTCCTTGCACAATCGTAATCAAGAAACGGTACTCTCCCTGAATAGTACTGAACCCAAGACTCTTCCTGGGTTGTAGTGGTACGAGAAGAAGAAGAATTCTTATTTCCGAACATTTTCCTCCACCTCTTCAAAGGGAACATTTTCACTCCTGATTGTTTCATATCTGCCTTTAATGACGCCTGCAGTATTTTTAATACGTCGAATTAATGCATTCCGAGAGTCTATTTTTACTTTGTATACTTCATCCTTAAACCAGCTTAATAAACAACAAACAATTAATCTGAGGTCTGGAGACTTGAATCCCAACCGCAATCAACCCAGCGATCTGGAAATCTTCATCCAAATATTGTCACACCTGACCAGCGAAATAAGCAGGTGATGCGTCATTTTGCAAGTGCACTTGCATTCTAATTTTTGGAGGAATATTCTATAATAGTCTTTTTAATTCAAATCCAAAAAAAAGATAGTAGTTTCTTTTAAGGCGATTCACTGAAATGAAAAGGCCAATTAAATAACCATCGATTTAACCAGGGCACTGCTATTCTAACGCCACAAAACACAAGTCTTTCCCTAAAAAAAGAAATATTTTGTAGCTGAGAACCTATGTGGAATGAAACTCGCCAAGCATATTAAAAAAATATTTAAAAACAGTAAAGCAGTGGTCAACATAAAATCCGCAAAGAAGACTTACAGTTAGCCAAATTAATACAAATCTAGTTCAGATAAACAAAATTAAACACAGGCATAGATGACCCCGAAGTTTTACGCCTTGAAACCCCAACATATCACCATCGACAATACCACACCGCACAAGTAAGTTGTTTACAATCTGTTGTAAAAAAATCACAATGCTAATATATGTACGAAATATTGTTTATTTATGGAAATTTGTTATATACAATTTAGACAAACGAAAATTGGGTAAGAACAAGGAACTTTTTAAAAGTTATTTTCCTTGAAACTATTCCATGGGATCCCGCATCCAATTGGAGCCTAGACCGACCCTGTATAACTTTAGCGGATTAGCTATTTCTATATTTGGTATTATTTACGGCTTATAAGAAAGGTGAAAACGTGTAAAGAACCTTCGTGCAGTGTAAGAGTTGCCGTTTTATTTCTTCCCCGGATTCCCGAGGAGCCTGCAGGCGGTAGCGAGTGACATCTGTTGAGCATTAGAGCCCGGAGGAGTATACGCCCGCAAAGGGAATGCGCGCGAGCCGGTATGTACCTATCCCATTACCGCGGGCTGCGGCCTAATGTCTTCAGCACCAGCGCCGTCGGGGTAGACCATAAAAAGGATAACGAAGCCAGCGGGTAACGATCGCTCCGCAATTAGATCACTAGCTTTCCAGGCATCTCCCCAGTCCACGGCAAATATTTTATTTCCAATTAAACCTCTTGTAACTAAACCTCATTGCTGAGGGAGAGGCTGTATGCTGTGTGCTTTGAGGTATATGCTAGTTGAATAATATTAATACTTAACTCAACAGCATAATTCACAGACAATTACTGATCTTTTTTTCCAAGAACGGAGTTTTTCTACATTGTCTGTTTTGAAAAAAAAAAAAAACGTGTCTCATAATTAAATCAGCCGTGTATCTAGAGCGATAATCAGAGGTGAATTGAAAGAGGGTTTCATGGCCCAAGCTGCGTTTTTTGAAGAGGCACATTTTTATTGGATTGTGAATTTTTTAGGGTGCAAATTTCAACGGGGTTATGATTTTTCGGAGAGAAAAGTTTCAATCCAAGGAACAAGGGGAAACAAGGACCAGACTATTATAAAATAAAGTGGTTGACTTGTGTTTTGGTTTGTAACACATTGTTAGGGCAAATCCAACCTGAATAGCAAAGAGTATACAACCTTAAAATTAATAATAAAACTATTCATTATTGAATAAACATAAAAAGAATCCACAATTTTAATCTTCGACATATCGGTATAAATCATCAAGTTCGTATTTGTTTTCTATAAGTAATAATTTTAATATTAATTTAGTTCTTTATATTCAAAATTACCATCAATGTATTTACTTAAGTAATTACTTCTAAAAGCTTCATATGTAGGACATTACAACAAAAAATGGTGTAAATCTTCTGGTTCACGTGTATTACAAATTGGGCATTCAGCACTCCTATCTACAAAACTATTTTGAACGTAGTCTTTGATTTATACTCAATTGAATTAGGTAATCGTAAAATATAAGAAATAAAATTGATGAAAATTTTATTGAATATATTATAAGTGGAGTACAACAGAGGACCTCTCTCCTCCTATAATAAGTGATATTATAAGCAAATTCTTGATTGTGGTTAATTAAAATGGACTGAATTACAACACTCAATTACCTACTGCATCATGGTTTTTATTTTTATTTTTTTATCTTCAACTTACGAATAGAAAAGCCTAAACAAAATGTTTTTGTGAATTTAGACACTAATCTCTAATGATTGAAAAAATTTATATTAAGAATGAAATCCAAAAATGGATTGAACGAGCATTGTAAGAGTATGTGGAAATATCGTCGGATTCATGAGCGACAATTAACAAATTTAAGGTATAAATCTACTTTTTTAATTTTTTTTTTAAAATAAATTTTAGATGAATATGGTGCAGAGCACTGTAAGCTTCTAAAGATAAATATAATATACTGTAAAAAGAAGGCTGTTTTTTCTTACTTTCAATAATTGCACAGTCTTCCTATTTAACGTAACTAAGTTATTTTTATTTAATTTTATATACGGAAAAAAAATATGAACGGTGATTAGTTTTGCTCCTGTAAAACTACATTCATCTCAAACCTAAATTCAAATAAATAATAAAACATACCACACGATATGTCTCCAAGATTAATAACCATACACCTCATACAAGTCCTCCCTCAGCCCGAATACCAAAAACATGGTTCTCGCTAATCAATAATGAGGAAATTTGACAAGGAAGCCCTGCTTTATCCGATGGTCCGGCAATTAAAACTGGAATCGTGGGGGTAAAAAAAGATTCGTGCTGTGTCCTATTTCAGCTCAAGATTTGTTTTATTTCTGGAGAAAGGAGCGCCGGGGAACATTAAAAAAGGACTAACTATAATGGACAAAGTTGAACAAGGTCAGAAGGACACCTGCTGTCCCAAATACAGCCGCAGCCGGAACCTTATGTATAGGAACTGTTTATGTATCTTCTCCTCCTCGTCTCCTTTATCGCTCATCCGATATTTATGGTACCATAAAACTACCAGAAATTAAACATCGTTAAAAGTTATAGCACCTGCTATAGAATCTTCGGGGCCATTCTCAGGAATTGGAAAGCAAATGGAAACATGAAATGGCACTCATAACCTTACCATATAAATAATAATGTAAAACGAAAATATTCTGCTTTACTTCAATTTACATGATGGCGATTATGTTAATTAATTATACTGAATTCGTCAATTACAGAACTAATACAAGAATATAAATAGTATTAATAAAATAATAAAGATTTGTAGTTTTTAGGGATAAGTTGGCACAAAAATGATGCCATAAATATGACATAATTTGAATAAAATAAAAGATAATAAGATATCAACATACATATTATTTATTTACAATTTGTTTATTAGCTGAAGAATGATTTTTCAGCTAAATTATGTGTATGTTGATATCATAATCTTTTATTTTATTTTTATTAATTTATTTATTCTTCAACATCATTACCCGTTATTTTATTTATATTTATTCACAATGTTGTGATTTCAGTTTTATTTTATGTTCAGTATTTCTGTACATATATAGTATATTAGACATTTTTATTTATATTTACCTACTTTTGGTTGTTCTCTTAATTTTATTCTTCAATGTTTATTTTATACTTTTATACATAATTTCTTTAATATTGTAAGTTTACTTAATTTAATTAAGGCGTCTGTTTATTTAAATATTCAATTATCACACAATTTTAAGCTGTATACAATAATTTAATTGTTCTTAATACTTGAAAACATTTAACTCAATTTTATATATATATATATATATATATATATATATATATATATACAACAAAAAATCTTATTTTCATGTAAACAAGTATTGTTTACATGATGTTTTGTGGCTTATTATTTATAAAATATTGGATAAATTATGTATGAATTGAAAAAAAAACGAGATTCAAATGATATTGTTTTGTTTTAAGTTAATAATATATAGAGAGTGAATAACATTATGTATATATGTTGTAATTATTGTTATATAATATATGTATTGTAGATGTCACCTGAAAATGAGTTAATTGACCCTTAAACGTTGTATTCAATTGTTTAAATATTCTTATTAAAGTGTTAAGGAAGAATTAAGGAAGAATTTCAATTCCTAAGATCCACATTATATATTGTTTTGTCTGTCTCTTTCTTTATCTTAAAATATAATATTATACAACCACTTAAGCTAGTTGGTTTGGGTTTGTTTATTATTCTTATTTTTAGCCATTTTTTTTTTTTTAATAAAGGAAACATAAAGTCTTTAAATTACTTGTGATAAACATTTTTTTCTTTAAGTATAGTTATAATACATTACAGATTTATAATAAAATGACGTGATGAGGGAAAATGAAATGACGCACTATCGTGTTTAGATTCGAACATCGCCAGCACATTTGACCTTTGGTTCAACTAATACATCAAATATATTTAATCTTTCTCATTGCTGGCATTTAATTATAATTTCGCTCTGAAATAAGGTGGGAAAATTATTTTAAAATATATATATAGGGGTTTCAAAATAAAATTAAAGATAATGATTTAAATATGACAGCAAGATGGCCCGCATACATTGCAATAGTATAATAATGTAGGGAAGAATTAAATAAAATAAATTCAATTAACATATACATAATTTTTTTGTTGAATTTAATTTTAATTTTAACCTATTTCAAAAGTAATATATTTTCAACGGTATACAGTTTCTTACATTAATAATAAACTAAAATATGGTTAGTTAATATAGTTTATTATTCAAACTATTAAGGAATTATTATTGTGAATAAAGTAACTTTACATTAAGCCGCTTTTATTATTATTATTTAAAAACTTTCAAAAGTTCAAAATTATTTCTAATAATTTATTTCTTTATTATGGATTGTAGTAATTTTATTAAAACTTTTATATAATGAAAATTTTATAATGCAAATGTTGACTTGATGAAAGGTAAATAAATTAAATAATAATGGTCAATTCATAGTTATTTCTTTGTGTTTAAACGATTTAATACAATATTAATTTATATTCACATCATTATGTGCGAATCTCACATGATATGCACTGAGGAAAATTTAAATTAGAAAAAGTGTGAATTTCATTATTAATGTACTCAGAATCACCTTTCTTATTGTCATTTCTTTGAAATTATGTAAACTGCTTCAATATTTCCTTTCCAGTGTATGTTTTACGACTTGGTTAGCATTATGATATCTAAATGTAAGCGATAATATCTTGGAGGCGGTTTCATAAAATGTTACAATATTTTTTAAAAGTTGATCATTATTAAAAAGAGAGATACTCACTTCGATGACTTTACAAGCGAAAACACCAATAAGTTAGCAAAAACTTCCCCATGATCCAAAAAAATAAATTTGTTAACAATTATAAACAATTTTCCCTGAAGTAGAGAGACATAATTCATAAGAATATAAGAAGTTCAAGTCTTTATAAAAACAGTAATATGGGTTGACCTGTAGATGTGAGATGTGTCATCTGCATTTCAATAATGTCATTTAGCTTTTTTAATCTTGGTTGTTAAATTTTGATCAGTTCGTTATTAACAATCAGTGACTGAAAACTACGGGTTAATTTTTCCAATAATAATTGCAAATATTCAACCTTCGATTTTTTTTTTTTTTATTCAAGGAAATAAATTCTTAAAGCTTGTTGTAAATATTAATGTGCCTTCAAAAGGTGGTATTTTTTAATGATTCATAAATTCCATTCGATGATTTACTTGATTTTTTTAATGATGAAGAAATGTTTGTTTTGAGAATGCAATCAGTAGTGTTGCTCAAAATGGGTCCTGGTCTTGCACTCTGGTCTGCCGCCTTTTTTAAATAAAAATTAAGGCAAAATAGTTACTAATACTCGACAATCTTAGTTACTATATGTTAATAATTGATATAACCAATATACTTTTGCATTTAACTCCTCTAATTTTTCATTCGCGCTTAGTTAGGTTTCTCCTATTTAAAAAAATACAGTATTATCTCTGTAGTAATAAGCTAATAAGGAACTGTAAGACTGTTGTGAGACTTTTAAGTAAGACCAAGACCAT